TGACGTTGAACTTTCTGCTGATCATTAAAAGGCTTGGCACTAAGCTCGGTGAATATTTATTTTGAGCGTGTTTTGTTTTGATGTATATATTCAATTATGTGCTTTCTTTTCAGACTATAATTTAGATGCTCCACATTAACTATAGATGTGATTCTAATTTACAAATTTATATCGATTGTCTATTGTCAAGGAGCAAAGCTCCGTATTATTAATTCGTCTGTAAATAATTGTTGTAGAGATTTAGTAGGGCTTATTTACAAAGGAAGCTCTACTGAAATTTCTACAACAAAAATTATAAATTTTTTATATGAAAAATGTTACTATGATTTTCTATCCTATTTCACATGAATAAAGATGTTAAATTAGAATTTTTCTTGATCAAGGCTTAAGGGATATATATTTATACATATATTTCATGCTAATCATGCCTAATTTTTGGGACATGACACAAATTCATACATATATATATATGTAAGAGTTGTTAACTTGGTCTCTATAGTGCTGAATCCATACCTTCTTACTTAATGATAATTAATTGATGAATGTGAAAAGGATAATTAATTATTGCATCAGTAAATGATAATCAATTGAACATGCTAATAAGGGGAATAGATCCCATGCAATGGCTTTTGTATTCTCGTCGTGAGTTTTATCCAATGGTTTAAGAAGACAGAGGTGTATAAAATGGCTTCTCATTTGTAAAGCACACAATCAGTTTTATCCACTTTGATTTTGACTCTTTTAAACTTCATGATTAATTCAAAATGGCAGCCATTGTATTGTAATTTTTTTGTTTCTTGGATGAAATGATTTTTAAAAAAATTATAAATAGAAATTTTTTTAATAAATCAACTTGATCACTCATATGGACAATCTAGATTTAATTTGAATGGTTCAAATTTAATATAAATGTTTTTATAAATTTAATATCCCAGATTTACTCCTAGACTTACAAATTTAATATCGTATTTATCAAAATAAGAATTTATAAAAATTAGACTAAAGTTTACTTGTAGTCCTCTAACTTTGTATTAGGTTAATTTAGCCACTTAATTTTATAAAATAACTTTTCTATCATTTAACCTTAATACGGTTAGTTTCAAATAATTATTTTTTTATATCAATTATTGTCATTTTAAAAAAGCAAGCTTAATAGTGCTTATTAAAAAAAGTAAACTTAATATATCAATATTTGACAATGTTTTATCAATTTTTAGAAGTTAAATGTAAAGATTTTTTAGATGAAACTAATAGTGTTAGGGTTAAGTAACTTAAAAAATTTATAAAATTAAGAGAAAATGATACATTGTACAAAATTAAAGAATTAAAGGTATACTTTAACCTAATAATTATAAAAACATTTAACATTATATCCAATCTATCCCAAGTATGTCTAAATGGTCAATTCATAAAAATTTAAAAATTAATATTGAATTGGATAATCTAAATTAAATATGTACTATCTAGATTAGTGATTAATAGATATATTAACATTTATTATAATTTTTATAATTTTTTATTTTAATAAATATAAAATAAAAGTAAAAATAAAAAAAACTATAAATCTGGATAAACATGATTATATACTTTAAAAAGAATATAAACACGATCGTGTGCTTTGCAGATTAGAAGCCTTTATATATATATATATATCTCTCTCTCTCTCTCTCTCTCTCTCTCTCTCTCTCCCAGCCATTGGGTAAAACACATGGAGAGTACTGCCCCGTTTATCAGCCATTGTGCGAAATCCACTACATGGGATCCGTTCCCTGCTAGCGAAACATGATTTAAGAATTATTTTGACCAAAGTATTTTCAGAATATTTTTAAGTAATAATTCTAGTATCTCAACAAATATGTATTTTCCTCCCATTAGTCACTATGTGTTTTATTTTGAAAATAATGATAATGGCAATACGTTTTATGTTTTTTTTTTATGTTTTTTCTGAGTAATATATTATTTTAAATGATTTATTAATTACCTGATTTTTTTGCAAAAATATGGAATAATTTATTTTTTGACAAATTTTTATGTAAAATAATTAACATTCATCTCACCTCAATAATTACAAAAAATATAAATGTGAATTCTTTTAATAAAGCAATTGAGAAGGACTATTTTACTTTTAAGAAGGGCTATATTGTCGTGCCCCTTTCTCCACACTAGTAACGATATATAAGTTGACTCTACTTGACATGTGAGCAGTGATGGATCCAGAAACATGTACGTGAGGGGCAAAATTAAAAACTACTTAAGATATGGGAGGAATACTAATTTTTATAAGCAAAATATAAAAAAAAATCAAGGGATAGTGAAATTTGGGGGGGCACTATAAAAAAATAAACTGTTAGCGGTGACTTCCAAAAGTCGCGGGGGGAACACCCTTTTGGCCCTCCCTTGCATTTGTCCTTGATGTAAGTAGAAAGATGATATAAAAATCTTTTTCTTTAATCGTAACATCAATAAGCTATGTAATGTATAGGAAATTTCTTCATTTATAAAACATCAATAGATTCAGTTATCATTTAAAATGAAAAAACAATATACCTGAAAAACGTTGAATTGAAAAATTATTTTGATGTAAAAGTATTTCAAAGATTATTCTTAATTTAATTTTGGCTAATTTTTTATGTAACAACACTTATTTTCATCAAATTATAAAAATAAAAAAATAATAATGATTAGTGAATGTGGAGCATATTCAAATTCTAACAAAAACTGCACATCATCATTGTGTCACTTGTTCAATAGTAGGTATATAACATGCTTTTTTTTTTTAACGTTTATTTTTGTGAAAGATCTATGATATACAAAATAGCATTTTTATATAATATTCTTAGGATTAATATTTTTTATTTAAATATTTTTATACCCAAAATTTGGACTAAGTTTAATTATTTTAATCATGACAAGTCTAATCTTAAGTTGACCATCGACTGAATTACTAACCTTGAATTGCTACCTCAATTGGTTTAAAAATTGATCTGATTTTCAGTATCTTGGCTAAGAGTGAAAGAGATAAGTGCATTTTTGAAAAAAGTATCATTAGTATTTTATTAAATTTCAAGGGTGTTGTATTAATTATGAACTAACTGATAAGAGTATATTTAAAAAATATCATTAAACATAAAATGGAACCACATTTAGTGCTCATCATACATATGAGCATTAAGAGCTGGCCTTTGAACTATTTAGATTTAATTTTTATGGTCCAAATTTATAGTTTTTCAATAGGTGTTTCCCAAATAAAAAATTATTTTAAAAAAATTAACAATTAAGAGATTGTTTTTAATTTCAATTTTATATTCATTAAAAAAATTTTAAAAAATAAAAATAAAAAGCTATAAATTTCTACCATCCAGATTAAATATAAACAATCTAGAAATGGTGAACTACCCGAGCTCATCTATGTAATAAACACTAACATTGGTTCCACATAAAAGACCCTTAGAAGGGAATTTCCAAAGGCCCAAAGAAAAAGACAACATTAAGAAAACAAGCCTGAAATGTACAAACTCGATCCAAACAAACATAGGCAACAAAAACCAGAGACCAACCCCCTGACAAACGAAAAGACCTGGATTGTTGTACTTTTGATCATGCAGATAAGAAGTTATGGAGCTTACGTCAGTCAAGTAGAAAACCAGTTCAAAAGCTGGTATTAAATTCTGTTTAAAAAGCACACGAGCAATGTAGTACTGAAATTATTTTCAGAGTTGATTTTTGAAAATCAATTCGGTGAAAACTATCCCGTAGGATTTGAGAATCCAAAGCTCAACATATATATGCTTTGGTTTTGTGATTGTTTAAAAACTTATCTACCCGAAAGTAGAACAACCCCAGAACAAGGTGACACACAAATTAAACATACCAAACAGACAAACATAACAGTAAAAAAACTAAACATGAAAGACTCGAAGATCAAACAGATGTTCTCAGCAAAAGACGCAGCTCCAGATGTTGGACCTCCATGTTTGCCGCGATTCATGAAGGTCCCCAAAAGTATCACGCATGCATATGAGGTTTTTTGGAAAAAGCCTCGTCAAACCCAGCGGCAACGCGAGCATGCTCTGTTTCTGTCCTTGAAAACAGAGAGAAACTCCTTTTGCAAAAATCGTCCCTAGACTGAACCCAAGATGAAGAAGACGAGACCATAGCAGAGATAAACCCAAGCTAAAATAAGACTGAACTCGGTTGACTACCATCCAAGTCACTTGCATGCATTAAGTGGTAGAAAGTAGAACAAAGAGTGGTAAAAAGTGAAGGAGAAAAAAAAGATTGTGAATAGGCGAAAGTCTTGGCTGATGATGTTAATGATTTAAGATCATTAAGTTGAAAAGCCACAATTAAGATGAAATGCTAACACCTGTGTAGTTGTTTCTTGGAAAACTTGATCAGATAATCGATCAGATGGTGAGTGAAAAAGATCATCATGGTCAAGCTTAGTCCTTTTCTTTTGCATCAAATTTGAACCGTCGATGAAATCGCAAGATTTCGTCTTTAGACAGCAAGACATGCTAGAGCTACCATGAATCATGACTCGTGTTATTTAAGTCGGTGCAGAGGTTTCTGATCTTAAACTAAAGAATCCATAGACCTGAACCTGAAGCATTTGAAGTTGACGAAGATTTGAAAGTAGAAATGAAAATTATTCGCCCAGTTGGACCCCTTAGTCCTCAAATCACAAATCTCATAAACTAAAAGCAACCAATAGAAAACCACCTTAATCGATACCTCTTGCAAATGTCTAAAAAACTAGGATCTTGCAAAAGGGAGAGATAAAGAAGACGCAGATCGATGACACTGCTGATGAACATGGCCAACTTCACGACAGTTAAAACAAATCATGTTGATTAGTACATAGTAAAATCATATTCATTCCCATCTGCAAAGGTGAGAACTCCTTGCAATTTTAGTTGTTGAGAAATATGTTAAAAAACACGGATCCGCAATCCAACAGAATTCATAATACTGGATTCATCAAAGGATAAGAAAGTCCCCTAGGAGTTGGCAATCAAGGTAGCAAAAGATTCTGCATAAAACTCTGTCGGTAAACCATGTAAATTAATCCATATAGGAACCTGTGAGAAAGAAACATCTTGAAGACGAAGAAATGGCTCCCATCCAGGTTTGAACATGAAGGGAGCAATTGCTCCTACTAGAATAACAAAAGTTTCCCTTAGCTTTCAGTTAAAATTACAATTTTTCCAAAAAAAATTATCAAGTATGCATGTTTAAAGGTATTGTTTAGTCTTATATTTTTTTTTTATAAAAATAAATTTTTGATACAAATGAAATTAATTTATAATTTTAAACTTTTTACTAATTTATTTATATATTACTTTAATTAATATTTAGATTTATATTTTCTTCAAAAGTATTAATATTTATGTTTAGTTTAAATATTGCCCCCTGATGAACTTTTCTGTGCCCATCACTGGCAGTGCTTCCATCTTTGTAAAATTACCAAACTTCCATTGGAAACCCATGGAACACCATTCCACATGAAGATTAAATCAAACAAACATCTCAAGAATAATGAGAAACAGTTATGAGAAGACTGAATGACATAAATTTCGTCTCTTAGCTCCCAAAACCTGCTTGGGATGTAAGCCTGAAATTTTGATGGATGAAATCTCATTGAGTCATGAACTTCAGCGAAGAGATAACGAATAAAACAACAATAATTTTGATCCATGAATCTATAATCCTTAAATGAATCCATGAAGACACGTAGGAAACCCCAAAAAGCAGAAAGGAAAGGTCAGTGAAGCAGGATGAAAGAGACAGCAAGACAACCAAGGGGAGCAAGAAAAAAGACAAAATGAGGAAAGCCTCATAAGTTAGAGGGAAAAAAACTCTTTCCCCAGACATATTTCCTCAATTGATAAAGGCTGGATTCTATCTCAATTGGTAAGAGTATCTCTTAACTAAAATATGATAAATATTTAAATGTTTTATTCTAATGATTGTACCTGTGATTACCATATTGAAATTATGTTTTTCTATCTCAATTTTTTTTTCCAATGCTTTTTCGTTCATCCCAATTAATTTGTCTACGTTTGTATTATTGAAAACAACTTTAGGTTCACTTATATTATCTTAATTTATATTAAAAATTTACCCTAAACGAAGCCTTCAATTAAAATTAAGTTTGTTTAAAGATGAAAAATATAAAAAAATGAATTTTAAAAAAATCTAGACTTGGACATTCAAATTCTCTTTTAAGGAAAATCTTATGTAACGTAACATTTGATAATATACAAGCCTATCATTCCCCTGTTATTCATATGCAAACTAGAGTAGTTGTAGCTGCGACTAGTAAAAATGGAGGAAGGGAAAAATAAATTTGAGGGCCTTATAGATTCAATGAAAAATAAACTCCCAACGGCGGCACAACTTCAGCGAGAAGAGGAGAGAAGGCTAATGGGAGGAGGGAAGTCTGACTGTGAGGAGAGAAATCTGACGGTGAAGATAGGAGGAGCACACTGTCAGTGAATGGGGAAAAGGAAAAAAAAAAAAAATGAGAGACACAAGTTCTGTTTTCTTTTCGCACAAAAATAAAATCTGATCTAAAGAGAAAATGGAACAATTAAGAAAGAGTGCAAAAAAATTACAAGAAAGGGCAGCACAAAATTTTTTCATAATTTAAAACAAAATAAAATTAAAATTTTTCTTTGTAGAATTCGAAATTTGGACTTTTAAAAAAAATTTACTAGCATAAGTTTTAATAAATTACTACTTTTCACTTATCATAAAACTAAGTTAAATAAAATATACATTAAGAGATTCTTTTTTAAGGGTCATTACAAGTTCTATCCATTCACCCTTTGCATCACCTAATAAATCATTATAGATAGCTTTGTTATCAACACTCGATGTTACCCCATCAACATTAAATTTATACCGTTGTGCTGGACGTGGGACCAGCTTTTGATGATACTATGTTCTTCATCACAGGAATTAGAAGCAGAATCCATCACAAAATGTTTCCATGAATTGATAATAATAGAAGTGGGAATGGTTTTTGGAAGCTTGGTTTGAAAGTGAATTCGTTCCTCCAATTCCATAACTCCCATAATGTTACTCCCCAAAAGTAGCAAAGAAATAGGAGCACAATTTTCTTTTCAGATTCAAAGATGAATGATGTAGAGAAGAATTCCAAAAAGGTAATGTGGATGAACAAGTTTACACTAGATTTGTTTTGCAAAATGGTATTCTCCAAGCATATGAAAAATATCTTCCTTCCCACTTTGTGCTCATTGACTCCTCCATACACTAGTTGATGGAAAGCAATCCACATAAAAATCTAATCCTTTCCACCCCCCACCATTCCCAAATTATAAATTGGGCTATACTGGGCATTATTAATGTTTTCAATCATCTCATATGCACTCCCTAATGTGAACTTACTTGCCCATGGAGCTTGAATTCCGTGCCATTAAATCCTCCCCCAGGTACTGGGTTGGTGGCAATGTCGCAATTGAATGCCGCAAAACTATGTGATTGATGACCTCCACAAGCCTTGGAAAGTCCCATGTGCCATACTTCACCCACTTTACTACTTTGGGTGTTGATGGCATTGCGCAAAAATCTTTGATTTTCGTCCCTTATAGAAGCCAAATATCATCAAAAAAAATTGACAGAATTACCATTTCTAATATGCCATCTGGTTCCCCTTTCCACAATCTCCCTTTGCTCACAAATGAAATGCCATAGAGGTGAGTCACCTTTATTAACTATTGGGAGATTTTGTTCATTATGCAACATATATTTTTGCTGCCATACCTCAGCCCAAAGACCTTTTGAATAAGAAATAAGATTCCAAGCAAGCTTTGTATTGCAGGCCTTGTTGAGGGAGATTAAATTATGGAATCCAAGGCCCCCAAATCTTTTGGCTGCTTGATACAGTCCCATTTAATAGGATGATATTGTTACTACCGTGATTGCTTCGCCAGATAAAATCTCTTTTTTCTGCTGCATTACACACACTAAGAGATAATTTAGCAACCTGCATTGGACAAAGGTATAGTTGTTAAAATTGATTTTATAAGAGTTTCTCTCCCCTCAGTAGAGAGGCAATTAGTGTTTCAATAGCCAACTTGGATTTCACTCTTTATATTATAGAGAGAATTATATTGAAATCTCACATAAGAAAATTAATTACTATAAGATCAATTGACAACTAAATTAAGAAGATTAACAACACCTTGTGTGAGATTTCAATTTGATTCTCCCTATATTATAAACTTAAACCTTTGTGGGTTTTCCTGGGTTGGAGATAGGAAACCCTAGATATTTTCCAATTAGCCAACTTGGATTCCACTCTCTTTCCATTACATTGTGCTATAATTGTTGAATACTTACACTAGGGAGGGATATATGTAGCCATTGGGCTAGCCACTCCAATAATGGGCCTTGACTATTGAATTATAGCACATGTATGTTGACCATTTATAAGTCATCATTTGCTCTGATAAAATAAAATAAAAATAATAAAAAGGGAAAGGAAAAGGTCAAAAGATGACCATTTTTTTATTTGTTTATTTATTTATTTGCGATGATGAGATGAATTACAACTATGAAGGTCATCAGTACAGTTTGTTGAACCTTTAAATAAAGTATATAACATAAAACTACTGGACTAGCCACCTTGAAAGGCATAAACCATTAGGCTATACCAATAAATATAAAATATATTGACTATTTTATAATTCATCACCTGCTTTTAAAAAATAAAATAAAAAGAAAAGAAAAGTCCTATATATGTTAAAAAAATGACCGTTTTTGGTGGTGATGAGATTAATTACAACCTTCATAGTAAAGTTTAGGGTACTAATACTAGAGCTAAGAATTCAAGCAAGCCGACTCAGCCTGAATAATCTTGACCTGAATAGGCCTGAACCCAAATAGGACGGACTCTTTAAAAAGCTTGAATAGCTAAGCCCAGCGTGAATTCCTTTGGATGGCCTAACTACCCAAATTTTATTTTTAAAATCATTTTTAATTAAATTTTTTACTTTAAAATTAATTATTTTATTTTCAAAAAAAATAAAATATATTTTTTGATTTTTAAATTATGTATAAGACTCAAATATATGGTATTTTAGTATAAAATGACCTAAAATTAAAATAATTAATTAATATTTATTATTTTTTATATATTTTGTAAAAAACATTTATTTGGGCATTTGGGCCAAGCCAAACCCGACCGGGCTTTGCCTAAATACACCCGAACATAAAAATTATATTTTTTCAAGCCTAGCGTGACATTTTTTGGGTGGGTTCAGGCTAGCCTGTTGGGCTCGATCCAAATTACCGCTCTAACTAATACCCAAGGGAGAAAGAAATTTTTTTTTTTGGAAAATTTGATAAAAACCACAATGAATTACAGAAGCAAAGGATAAAACAAACATTATAGAAACGTTCGGCAATGATAAATATAGCAATAATTGTTTTAATAAATAAATAAGTATTTGATAATTAGTTTAAAATATAAAAGAATCAAAATAAAAGCAAAAACTTCCGCAAACATCAACCAAGATACCTTGCTGGACGAAATGAAAATTGTAGGAATTAGCTAGGCACATTCTTATAATTGTACTTGTGATTCCTCTACTGAAATTACATTTTTCTATCTTATTAATTTTTTCCAAAGCCTCTCTTTAGTTCCAATGAATTTGTGTATATTGATATTATTGAAAGTAATTTTAGGTGCACTGACATTGTCTTAATTTATATTAAAGACTTACCCTAGAAAATGACTTCAATTAAAAGTAACATTGTTTAAAACTAAAAAAATATAAAAAATAATGAATTCCAAAAATCTGTACATAAACATTCAAGATCTCTTTTCAAGAAGTAGCTGAGATCCATCACAACACGCACATCCGTCTACCACCTAACACTTTATTTTTCATATTCTCTCTCATATTTTGTCACGCCCCAAAATATAAAATGTGACCAACATAAAATATGCATGCAAAATTTATATTCCATAAGCCTTAACTAAAGAAATTTTAAATTTTTAAACAATAAACACACATAATATATAAACAGAATTGTTAGATATTTTATTCTTATTATTATTAATTAATTAATTTTTTATATTTTTCATGCAACCAAAATTCAAAATTTCCTATAAAAAATTTAAAGGAATGTATCCTAAAAATGAGACTTCCCAAAATTTATCACCAACAAAGAACAACAATAATACAAACAAAGAAATTGCGCTCCTTACCAACAATTATTCAATCTTATAATAAAAATGAGGATCTTGCCTATAATCAATGTGGAGCACCTAGGGTCAGACCACTGATTTAATACGAGGTTCAAATTACATCAAATGGGTCTTGCCACAGTAATTCTTTCACTCCATTTGAATGATAAAACGCCACAATGAACATGTTGAAATACAAGTTGAGCCTTTCCATGTAAGACCAAAAATATTTTTGCAATGAATAACGTCCCAACAATAAATAATTGAACATGAATAAAAGGAAAATTTGAAACAATTATGCAAGTTGGAGATGACAATTTTTTAAAAATTAATAAACTTTGAAATAAAATGGCTCTATATAACTTTAAATAGAATTTTGAACCATTAAAGTATCAGATTAAATATTTTTGTTACGTAATTTCAAGAAAACAAATAAACAAAATAAATAATTACACATAGATTACTAAAAAAATTAATGAGATGTAAAATCACCAAATAATCTAATTTATGATTATTGAGACTTATTAGAACCATTAACAAACGTGGGTACACAGTCCACGAGGGTAAATAATCAAACACGGTTGCCACAAAGACAAACATAGACATATAGTCTATGAGGATAAGTAATCAAACGCAGCCAAAGTCACGAAATAAATGTGAACACACAGTCCACAAGGGTAAGTAACCAAACACAATCAAAGTCACGAAATAACCATCCCTCTGTTCGACGTGCGTTAGCCATCGCATGAGGCTTGCACCTCCTATAAACACCTTGTTAGCTAGGTGTACCATAGCGCACTAAGGGCTAATAGAACTGCCATAAGCAACTAGTGTTCTGTATAAAGTCTCTTTTAAATTCACTTTCAAACATGCGAGAAAACCATCTCTTGCAAAATATAATTTCTCTTCTCAATATCAAACTCACATGAACCATGCAAACATCAATCTTTCTAAATATCAAAATTCATAATTAATATTTTATAAATTGTTCACTAATTTTTATAGTTGGATTTATCAAATACTAGACTACTAAAATTTGTAAAAGTATTTCCGTCAATCCAAAAAGTATAAGTCATGACTCTAAGAAGTAAAACAATTTAATTAAAAAAAGGAGTTAATGCAAGAGAAATATATAATATCTATAAATTGTTAAAAGAATATTTTGATAAAGAAAATTTCTAATTTATAAATTGATTGGGATGTTATTCACTTACCTGAAATTCTGAAAATGCAAAATTTTCCTCTAAACTTTGATTGTATTTTTCCTTTTCCCAACACCCTAAAAATCATATTAAGATTTTAAATAAACTTTCAATAAACTCAATAATGAACTCAATATGAAATATATAATTATTTAAAATTTTAAAATTGGGACTCCACACATAAAAATCCATCAAAGCCATAGCTCAATGCTCAATTAAAATACAATTTCATATTAAACTTTTTGTCAAAATACTAAAAGTATATTATTTTCAAAGAACTCAATTGATTGCACAATATCTTCACAATTAAATTTTTATAGCTAATGCCAAGCTCAGTTGACAAGATAATAGTAGTCAAACTGGTTATGTCTTTTAAGGATTGAATGAAATTTTAGTGAATTTAATTTCAAGCAAAATTGTTCTAAAGGGTATTTTATCAAACACCTTATGGGCATTAATCCTCAAACAAATACTAACATCTTCCTCTTTAAATTCACTTTCAAAAATTTTATAATATTAATATGGTAGCCAATAACTAAATCAAACTTAATCAGGACTCAAACCCACATCAACATTATGTCATCCTTAGTACTAGAAGGTTTAGCTAAACTCAATTCACAAGATAATAGTATCCAAACTAGTTATGTTTCCAAAGGAATTTTTTTAATGAAATTTTAGAAAGTACCCAATCAATAATTCCTTCCAACATGCATTTTGACAAACATTTTATAGGCTCCAATATCCAAATTTCATGTCTAAGATCTTCCATTCCGTTCTCATCCTAATCAATTTTTTTTTTTTGCAATAATCAATCCAAATGAAAATCAATTTAGCTCCAAAAGTTCTGACCCATATGTATCATTGTCAGACTTTGATATAAATTTCCAAATTAAATTTCAACTTCCTTCTTCCTACACAGCGCAGACAGCAGCAGAATTCCAGGGGTTAAAAAATTCAATGCGAACAATATTATATCACACACACTCACATGTACATAGAGCTAACTAGAGGAAGGTTCGAAACTCCTCATCCCAACCAAGCACCACATAACAGAAAAGCAGTAAGGAGGAGAAGAGACTGACAATGTGAAGCTAAAAAAGGAGGAACTGTCACACACAAAGCAACAAGGAAGAACAATAGCCAGCAATGCAGATAAATAGAGGATGGATAAGCTGAACCATAACTAAC